GTTGCTTGCTACTCCGAACAGGTGAATACAAAGTAAAGGAGAATCCCGGAGAAATTTTCTGAAAGCTAGGCAGGAGATTGCCGACGATGTGCCGAAATGTTGAGAAACATGCTTTCCAAACACTCAGATGTGATGAAGAACAGCCGAATGAAGTGAAGGTGATGTTTTGTCGCCCTTGACTGCTGTTTTGCCGACTGGTCGCATTGTAGGTGGACAAGAAGAAGAAGAAGAAGAAGATATATTTTGATCCTCTGACTCCTCCTCCTCCTGCCTCCTCCTTTCCACCATTTGAACAAGTAGATTATTTCCGATATGAGCTCGTCCACAAGTCGAAGAGATCAAATGCAAGAGTTGGAAGGTTTGACGATGATGACGATGACGATGACGATGATGATGATGATGATGATGATGATGTAGATGTAGATGGTGGTGGTGGTGGTGATGATGATGATGATGATGATGATGACGACGACGACGACGATGTACATAATGTGCATGTTGACGACGATGATGATGTTGAGAATGTAGATGATGATAATGATGATAACAATGTCGAAGATGATGTTGTCACAGGATTCATACTCCTCACGGGACCATCGACACACCTGGGTTCGTTCCTGTAGCAACGATTGCAGCACAGAAGGCTGTTGACCATCGTTTGATGGATCAGATTGCAAATCAACAGCTGATGTACGATTATGATCTGTTTCAATCCGTGTTGTTGACGTTGTTTGCAAAGGTTTTGCAATACCTATCACCTCCTCCTTCAACCTGGCCCTGAGATCGTGGAGGAGGCTGGGGGCCTGCACAAGTTCATGGGCAGGGACGAGAACCGGCCGTTGATCACGGACAGCGGAGGGTTTCAAGTGAGGGAGAGGAGGAGGTGTAGAGGAGAAATTGATGTGTTGTCATTTTAGGTGTTTTCTCTTGCGCATGGATCAGTAGCTGATGATCTGAACATCAAAGGGTGAGTTGTGTTCCTTGTTTTATGTTCATGATGTTATGCTTTTCTTCCCTTCCTCCCCTTTCACTTTAGTTTCCTTCTCCTCTTCAATGTCATCATCGTCCTCTCCTTCTCTTCTCCTGCTTGTGCTCGTGCTCCTTCTTCTGCTGCTCGTGCTCGTGCTCCTGCTCGTTCTCGTGCTCCTGCTCCTGCTCCTGCTCCTGCTCCTGCTCCTGCTCCTGCTCTCGCTCCTGCTCCTTCTCCTTCTCCTTCTCCTTCTCCTTATCCTTCAATTCATTCTTCTGCTTCTCTAGTTTCCAATTCTTCTCTCTCTTCTACTTTTTATCTTGACCTGACTCGATCGCTCTGAAGGGGAGGAAGGGGGAAAACACACTCTCCAACTGTGATGAGCGTGACAGAGGAAGGAGTGACGTTCAGGTACTTCTCATCTAACTGATATCTTTTGTTGTTCTCGCAACCTCAACATTTAAACCCGCGATTGTGATCTGTATCTTTGTATGGAACCTTGCAAGATTGGGTACATATTTATTGTACCTTTGCATACAATTTTATTCTTTTCTCTTGTTATATCAAAATGTTATTCAGTCTGTCGATACTCAACCTTTTGCCACATAGATCGTACAGGGACGGCAGGAAAATTCTTCTGACCCCCGAGATCACAGTTCAGGTGATGAGATCGAAAAGAAACATATGATGTTCATTACCAAGTTTGGTCTTGTGTTGATTTCTGACTCATCATTGATTCTGTGATATTCAAAGTTCATGCAGTGAATGTCTTGCTTGCCGTTTGGACCACCCAGTTTTAACATCTTTGAGAACTTCTTGTTTGAGATCGTTGTGTGAATTGTGCAGCATCTCCTCTGCTCCAACAAACATAAACATCTTTCCTTCATCTTGATTCACTCGATCGTTTTGTCTTTTCAG